AGAATCATTTTAACCAATGGCTACACCATGTTGCTGGCCAACCCTTGGCTGGCGCCTTCTTCCTGCAGGGGACCCTCAGCCAGGCTTTGCATCAGGGCTTTCTCTTTTTTGCTCCTCTTCGGTCTGTTTCTGATGGCCGTGTTCGGGAATATCCTACTGATCCTTCTGATCCACACAGACTCATCTTCACATTTGCCCATGTACTTCTTTATCAACCAGCACTTGTTCGTGGGTGCTGTTGGACCACCTGACCAGCACGGAGACAATCTCCACCCCTGGGTACGGACCCAGATGCACTTTGACCTGATGATGGTCAGAGCACAGTACCGTATGCCATAGCCTATGACCGCTATGCGGCCATCTGCCATCCTCTTCAGTACCTGTCCTGATGAACATTCAAGTTTATCGACTCCTGGCGCCTTGCTGATGGGTTGTGGACTCACTGGACAGTTTCATCCTCACTCCCATCACCATGGCCTTCCCTTTCTGCAGGTCCTGAGAGATCCACCGCTTCTTCTGCAGGTTACTGCTGTCCTGGGGCTCCCCTCCTCAGACACTACCACCTATGAGGTTCACACGTGTCTGTGTGCATACTCACACTCCTTGTCCCTGTGACAGTCATCCTAGCCCCTTCTCACTTCATCATCCTGACCATCCACAGGATGACCTCCTCTGAGGCCCAGGAGAAGGCCTATATTCCTCCCACGTGACCATGGTCAGCTGCTTCTATGGCATTGCTATCTACAATAGTGCTCCCAGATCCCAGAAAGGACCCGATATCCCTTCTCCACACCATCATCATACCTGTCCTGAATCCTTCTATTTATAGCCTAGGAACGAGGATGCCGCAGGGGCTCTCAAGGAAGCACAGGGAAACTCCTCGCTGAAACCTGAGGAAGTCAGTCTTCTTACAGGGCCCTTGCTCACGTCATGTGTCCCCCCAGCAAGTGACCAGCTGCCTCACTGAGTTATCCCTCTGAGGACTTCAGCCAAATTTTCCTCTGTCCTCAAATCAGTTGCTCATGTTTAAGATGAAACTCACCTTTCCTTCCCTCACAGCATCAACCTCTATTCTGTCCCCTTGGCCCAATGGCTTTTTTTTTAGATTACAGTTGAGAAACATGAAAATCACTCCATGTTGGTGGTGCCCAGAAAAAACCTTCACTGTGAAGAGTGTTTAGCAGCACAGATTCAAGACTGGTGTGACTGTGACACATTCTGATTATCCAACGTCCTCTCCTTAACAAGCCCGTATTGGTGCCACCTCATCTGACCCACCATCACCCACATTTCCCAGAGGATGGGATCTATTAGATTTGCCCTGACTTGGTCCACGCAAGAGTCCACAGGCCAACCTTAGGCTTTGGGCTGACATGTAAAACACTCAGACGTCAGAGAGTCTAAGTCAATAAAACTGATTTTCAGTTTCTCATTTTCAGTTTTGCTTATCAGGGAAATTAATATCAAAACCATGCTGATAGCAACCTCACATCTGTTAGACTGACCATTATCAAAAAGATAAAAATAGTAAATGCTAGCAAGAATAGAGAGAAAGAGCACTCTACCTACTGTCGGTGGGGATACAAATTAATATAGTGAGTATGGAAAACAGTACACATATTCTCAAAAATTTAAAAAGAGAATAACTATTTCATCTAGGTTTCCTACTACTAGATGTATTTCCAAAGTAAATTCAATTGGAATACCAAAGAGGTGTGTCATACACCTGGCATCCCATGATCATGGTATTCTTGACTGTTACAAAGAAGCAGAAACAACCAAAGGCATCCATCAGGAGAGGAATGAAATGAAGAGAAGAATGAATGAAGTTAGATATGATGGCTATCAAAAACCGTGCCACTATAAACATAGGTGTGCATGTTTCTGTAATGCTTTGAATATTTTGGGGAAGATACCCAGGAGAGGAATGGCTGGTTGAAAGGGACCTCTACTCGTTCTTTGAGGAATCGCCACATTGACCTCCATAGTGGTTACCCCAGTCTACACTCCCACCAATAATGGAGAAAGTTCCTTTTTCCCCACAGCCCCGCCAGCATTTGTTATTGTTTTATTTCTTGATAATAAGCATTGTACGGGGATTTAGCTCAGTGGCGTAAGCACCTGTCTGGCAAGCGCAAGGTCCTGAGTTCAATCCTGGTACTGAAAAAAAAAAAAAAACTAGATAATAAGCATTGTTGTTGGGATAAGGTAGGTTCTCAGTGTTGTTTAATTTGCAACTCTGGAAAGATCAGTGATGTTGAACATTGTTTCGTATATTTATTTGCTATTTGTATTTCTTCATCTGAGAAGTATGTGCTCATCTCAGATGCCCATTTTTGGATTGGGTCTTTAAATTTGGGGGGCCTGATTCTTTTTAGTTATTTATATGTTCTTATAACATTTTTAATTGGGAAGTTTTCATCAGTTATATGCCAAAAGCAAAACTGTATACCACAAGTATGGCATAACAATCTCTTCTGTATTAATCAGGAGAAAATATATGTATCAATTTTTAAAGTGGCACCTTCACTGAAAAATTGCAAATAATTTGTCAAAAACCCAGCACTTGTATGATGAATATGCAAATTAAATTCACAATGAGGTCCATTCTTGTGGGATAACATGGAGGAAAAATGGACAGTGACATGAATAAAGGCAAAGATGCCACAGAACTGTCTCTGTGGTCAGCGCAGCACGTTCCTGAGGGAAGCAACCATGGCACGTGATGTGAAGAGACCCTGGGAAGGGATGTCGGCAGACAGGACTGAGGAATTTCTTACTCAGATACACACCTCAGTGTGGCTTAGACTAACAAACAATTGGGAGGAACCTACACTTAAAATGAGCAAAGCATTGGGCTATAAATTCTAACAACATTGTAAAGCTTTATATTTTTAAAATATTTCTGAAAACATTTAAACAGAGACATATGTATTCAATTACAATGTTTTGCTGAACATTTAGAAAAATATAGAGCTAAATAAGCATGAATGTATTCTATCTATATCAGATATGTACATATATTTTACCCCCATACACTTTATTTAAATATGTGTTGAAAATGGAAAACAAGACTTCTGTATTATATAGGGCATCTGCTGGAGGGGTGAGAAATGCCTTTGTTTCTTCTTTTAATTATACACAATCCTTATTCTATTTATTTATGTCTGATATATGCCTCAAGTTCCCTATGGTGTTCCTAGAACACATTTATAAAGTGAAAACATGATCTACTGAAAACACAATTCAGCATCATTTCAAACAGAAGTGCTACATTGCTCTGAATTAGCTGTTCTTTCCAGTGATGTCATTTCCAAAGCAAAAGCCCCATGGGCCCCTGAGTATCCTGTCCAAACTCGGCTCTCCGTCCTCAAGAGCTGAGCACACAAACAAAATGCACTGGAAGCAGATAGCAGAGGCTGGGACCCAGTCTTGGAGGACAGAGTGAACGTTCTGTCCTCATTCCATACAGACTGGTTGGAGAGGAGACCAACCCAGAGACAGTGAGCACTCAGAGCCAGGGTTCTGAGCTCAGCTGAGTGTCTGCTCCTGGCTGGGGCCCCAGACAGGGCCCCCTCTTACTCAGCTGCTGAGCTTCTGGGAGCCCTCACCCTTCCTTGGCATGAACTTTACGCTCTGCACTGTTTCCCGCACCCAGAGAGCCCCTTCCAGAGTCGTGTCCTCCGTGATTACTCCTGACATCAACGCTCTGACGCTACCCATTTGTGGAGTGCAGCATCTGACCTGCCCGAATCCCACGAAATCTTTGTTTGCTCAGTCGCTTGCCTGCTCTCCCTCTCATCACAGGCCCAGCAGCTCTAAGGAAGCAGCAGCAGCAGCAGCATCTCTTCCACCCCGGAATGGTCCATAAAGGATCCCAGCGCCTGCTGTGTGGTAGGAATTGAACAGCACCTTTAAGGTCCACTGAGCAGCCACCTCTTGTGATAGAGTACTATACAATGTTTGCATTGGTTCTCCACATTCAAGATCTAACATTCACCTCTGTAACTCAGTTTCCTTCTACTCAACCTTATTTTTGTGTTCCTTGCCCTTGACAGTCTTGATTTCCTTCAAATTAATGTTCCATGAAAATATCTTTCACATCTAATGACCCAGGTTGGTATAATTTATTTAATGCATCTGACTGATATTTACTCCCCGCCCACGAAACAAAACTTTAAAACAGCACAGACTTCTTAATTCTATTGCTTTGATTCATTTTAAACTTAAATTATTTTTCTTGGTAGAAGTTCATACACTGCCCATTTGATATTGAAGACTTCAAAATTAACATTTTAGACCAGGAATCAGCAATCAGAGTACTTTCTCTGCTTCGAGAGTTTTTGTAATTATTACATAATTTTTTCCTTTTTTCAGATCACTTTTATCAGATGTTTGTAGTACATGAACTCTTCTACCATTCCCTGCCACCTCCTCTATCTTTTGCTCCTTATTTATACTGTGGATTTCTCACATGACAGAACCATGATTAGAGTTTTATGCTAAAAACAGCAGGCACTGAGCTGCCATCCCCTTCTCTGGACTTCATTCTTATAAACAGGATTTGTATTTTCTCAGGTGACAATAGTGACTTGGATGTGATGCCACTTACTTCAATTAAGTTTTTTAAAGAAAACAAAGCTGTTGTACAAACGAGGGTCCTTCCTCAGCCCTCAGAGAATGTTCCAGCTTTACCTTTTAGATTGTGCATTGCTGGTTGAGAAGAACCGAAAGACTTTGTTTCTGGGAAAATGTCTCCTGATTTCCTGTTAACATCAGCAAACAATGCAAGTCAGACCTTTTGCTAATTTTGTGGACACATATTTGAAAGTTACATCTCTGTATTCAACAATTCATTGCAAACCTTGTAAACACGTCTGTCTATGTGATTGAAAGGACAGTGCAGGAAGTACTTGCAAATGACCTGCTGTGATCATCTGAGGGCCTGCCCGGGGAATGTCAGGATTACAGATTTTAGAGGTGAGTTCTCATGAATAGAATCTCAAAAATACCAATATGCTGTTTTAAAAAAACCTATGGAGAGATGTTCTATGTTACTGGTATAACATGGAGGAAAACATTCACATCTCCTATTGGAATACTACCTGGGAAATCTATCTATCTCTAGATAAATAGCATCAGGGTGTTACCAAAACTGATCATTACATCCAAACCCAAAGACAAGAGCAGTCAGAATGGCCAACGCGAGTTTCCCAGCATACTTCATTCTTCTGGGCTTCTCCAAGTGGCCCCGGCTCGAAGTGGCTCTCTTCTGGATTGTTGTGGTCTTCTACATCATGATTGTCCTCAGCAACTCGACCATCATCGTGCTGTCACGTGTGGACTCCCACCTCCACACTCCCATGTACTTCTTCCTCAGCAATCTCTCCCTCCTGGAGCTCTGCTTCACCACAACCACTATGCCCCAGATGCTCTCCAACTTGTGGGGTCCTGACAAGCACATCACCTACACAGGCTGCGTCATCCAGCTCTGCGTGTTCCTCTGTGCTGGAGCCACGGAGTGCATCCTGCTGGTGGTCATGTCCTTCGACCGCTATGTCGCCGTGTGCCAGCCCCTGCGCTATCCCATCATCATGCACTGGCCCCTCTGCTGGAAGCTGGCCCTCTCGGCCTGGCTGTCTGGACTGACAGAGTCTCTCATCTTGTCTCCTGTCACGCTCCAGCTGCCCTTCTGCTCGCATCACCGCCTGGATGATTTCCTGTGTGAGGTTCCCTCCCTCATACGCCTGGCCTGTGGCGACACTTCCAGCAACGAGTGGCAACTGACCGTCTCTTCCATCCTCTTCACCATGGTGCCGGTGGGGCTCATCCTGACTTCCTACGGCTACATAGCCCGGGCCGTGGGGAGGATGCAGTCAGAGGAAGGCAGGCAGAAGGCCGTTTCCACCTGCTCTGCCCACCTGCTCGTAGTCTTCATGTTTTATGGCACGGTGGCCATGGTGTACACGGACCCCAAGACCGAGTTCGCTTCACAGAACGGCAAGTTTTTCACCTTCTTCTACACTGTCGTCACACCTTTGTTCAATCCTCTCATCTACACTCTGAGGAACAAAGACGTAAAGAGTGCTTTGCTAAGACAGCTCAGAAAGCGCATCCGTCCATAAAAGGTGTTGCTGAGACACCACTCGAACCAGACAGGAAGTGCGAATGCATTCAATCACAGGCTCTGAAAATCACTAAAAACAGTTCATACGGTACAAAGAGGGCTTGTTTTATATTCACTGAATTTTCCATGTTATTTGCTTAAAAATAATAGTAGTTTGGGCAAACAATAAGTGTTTAAAATTCATTTGACTGGGGAAGATGACTAGTTGCACAATAAATTTTGAGGAATTTAAATTATTCCTAAAATGACTTAACTTTCATGAGCTTAACATTCTAGAATTATTGAGTAGGACTGTGAATTATTTACTACTTAAATTTCAAAATAAAGGCTGCATAGAACTTGGTTGATGGATTTTCTTATATGCTCTTGAAGAAAGGAAAATTTGACTGCAGTCCCCCTAGTCTTTCCTTTCTAATTTGGGTCTGAGGATTGCAATTTGAAGGCAAAAAGATTCTCCTTGCATATTTTTTTTTTTTGCTGTATTCTTTTCTTTGAACTTTTCAGAAGATGAAGCCATCAAACCTAGGAGCTTCGGAGACATAAGAACCCAAGGGAGATATGGACCCTTAGAGTTCAAGAGTAATACACATTTAATTTCCATGTGATTTCAAATATATTAAAAATGTGGGCAAATGTGTTTCCCTAGGATTTTAAATAAATGTACTACATTTAATACAAAATAAATATACATACATATTTTATAAAATGAAATGACTCGTGAATTCTGTTATTTTCTTGGTAGTGAAACTATGAAATACTATCTTACCAAAATCTAAAATTTTTTCTGCAAATAGACTTATATACTAACATATGGTATCAGAAATTAAGCAAAATATATTGTGTTGGAAATTCCTTCAAGTGTTGTTAAATCTTTCTTTGACCCTTAATCTGGTGGAAATAGCAAAGATACTACCAGCATACAGAACTGTAGATATAGCTATCCTAGTTTACAGTGTGTTCTGGGACAAAATAGAATCAGATTTGAAAACAATAACACAAAATTAAACAATTTAGGTAAATTTCAGAGATGAAAATTAAACATTATAGGGGCTGGGGATTTAGCTCAGCAGCGTAAGTGCCTGCCTTGCAAGTAGGCAGTCGTGAGTTCGATCCCTGGTACCAATAAAAAGGAAAAAGACAAAAAAATTAAGCATTATATTTCTAAATAGTCTGTGGGTCAAAGGAAAATACTAAGAAATTAATGCTGCTATTATTAATTTTGAAACAGCTAAATTATCAGTTAAAAGTAGAGACAATTTATAAGTATTTTTAAATATATGTGTGCTCATCACTCATTAGAGTAATTATTATGTTTGAATATGAATGCACAAGGTCTAAGAGGATGGAAGAAAAACAAACCCAAATAAAGTTTTGGAAGCTAGAAAATAAAAGGTTAACCCATATTTCACTGATTATGTATTTAAAAAGTAGAGATAAAGCCAGTCACAGGTGAAGCTCAGACACCACTCAGATCCTTCTGGAAGGGCCCTGGCAGCTTAAAATCGGGGTAACCTGGCACATTTGACACTGCAGAAGGCACTGAATCAGGGGCTGCCTTAAAATCTGGTTATAATCCAGGCTGCACAGCCAGACCCCAGCACGCGCCTCAAGGTCCAGCTGTCCGTCCCACTTTTAGTACAACTGGAGGCCTTTATATCACTGAGGTGTTTAGTCTGCAGAGTTCCTGATTTGTAAAAAAAAAAATAAGCACAATATGAAAATATGTGTGGAAAGTCTACATACCGAACTACTACATTCCCTTTTGTCTTCCTTGGTCCTCAGAATTCTAGGAACATCTTTTTTTTTAGAAAAACAAGATGATCACTGTGAAGATAATATGTATTCATATATATTAGAATTGTTTTCTCTAGATCTGTGAAAAATACACTGATGTTTTTATTGGAATTGCATTAAATCTACATTTCATAATTTTGTTAATAGGTCCATTTTGACAGTATTAGTTTTCCCTGTCCAAGAACAGAGAATATCTTGCCATTCTCTAATGTCCGCCAATCTTTTTCAAAGCAATATAATTTTCAGCACAGAGATCTTCACTTCCTTAGTTATGTTAATTCCTGGTTTTCTTAGTTGTGAAGCTATTGTAAATGAAACTCTTTTCCCTGGTTTGTCTTAATGGGTCATTGGTGTACAGTAACAGTACGGAATGTTCTGTATTTATTTTGTATCCTGCCACTTTGCTGACTTTGTTTAGTAACTCAGAGAGACTACAGGTAGTGTTTGGGCTGTCTATGTAAAGTAAAATAGTGTGTCATCTACAAATAAGGATAATTTTTCTTCTTCCATTCCTGTTCAAATCTGTTTTATTTGTCTTACCTGTTTGCTCTCGCTGAAGTTTTGAGTAATGTATTGAACGGGAGTAGTGAAGTGATTACCCTTGCTGCGTACCTGACTGTACAGAAAATGCTTTTGGTTTTTATCATTTAGCATAATGTTGACAGTGGGCTTCTCAGTTTGAGGAAATGAACATCTATACCTTTTGCATCATGACTTTTATTATGAACAGATATTAGATTTTGTCAAAGGCTTTTTCTATACCTACTGATCTCATATCATTTTAACCTTATTTCTGTTTTATGCTGTGTTACACTGGCTGATTTATGTACTGGAGCCATTCTCTCTCTTTTTAATGAAGACAATCCCAGGCTCCTTTCCTCCACTGGTCTAGTAGTTGTTGAAAGCCTGCTACCTCCAGGCCATATGCTTCTTACTGTGGTTATGTGCTGTCACATCTCTTACAAGAGGACTGGCAAGAAATGACTGTAACAGCAGTGTGCAAAGCCCTGGGAATCGGGGCCTGTTTGACAGTATGTGCCCAAACACGCCAACGAGTGAGATGCGGTTGTGTCTTTGGAAATCATCTTACCTCCCTCTTGTGAGTAAAAGTCAAGAAACGGGCCTGTGGCTTGAAGTAAAGAGAGAATTACTTACTAAAAAGACTGGATTTAACTACTCTGTTGGCAAAGGACATTTGTCGAATTAAAGGAGAACAGTACATACTGGGTACAGTTTTGCTAACCATGTATATTGGTGGGGCTGGGGAGCAAGATTGGAGGCATCAAGACTGAGCCAGAAACTTAAAAGCTGGGGTAGTAAATAAAGCAGTTGTTCACTGTCCTATATCCTGCCATGTGCCAGGCAGATGTTTTACATTCATTTGCTCATCTTGTCTTTGAAAAAAAAGCACAAGCTAGGTGTCATTGCTGTTCAAAGGAAAGCTGAAGAATAAAGAAGTTTGTAACTTTCCACGGTCACACAGGTTATAAACGATGAAATCTGGGCTCATGCCCCAGTTGTTAAACTCCGTAGTGTTTGCTTCTAAAACCCGGATTACACAGATAATCTCCAGCAAGAGGTGGTAAGGACAGCAATGGTGATTATGGAGGAGAAAACAAGAAGGCAGGAATCCTTAGGAAGGTATGTCTATGTCAGCCAATTCTCAGGGAAGACGAGCATGGAGAGGGAGGAGATGATGAGTTTTGGCTGAGAGCCTTTGTTGTCCAGTAGATTACTAAATGAGAGAGGACTGGCATACGGCTCGCTGACGGAATACTTCACTATCTAATGTACGAGGTCCTCAGCACAGACGGAATAAGCAAACTGGGAGGGAAAAGTCAGAGCAAAGTTCGTTTTGTACATGAATATTTCTAGACTCTTTGGGGACATCTAGGTGAAGATGTCTAAAAGATAGCTAAGTACACATGGGTTGGAAACTTAGAAGGAGCTAAGTTGAAGAATGAGTTGTGTGTACAGTGGACTTGATGAAACTGCTTAGAAAAACTGAATAAAGGTGACAACTCTGGCTAATATTAGCACAAGTGGAAAGAGAAAGAAAAGCTAACAAAACAGACCAACAACTCCCAGTAAGAAAGTAGGAAAAGTAGATAATACTGGTGTTAAGGAATCAAAGTGATTCAGAGATTGGTGACAACAGAGTCAAAAACCAAGATACGTAATTTACACCAGTGGCCGGGGATATAGCTCAGCAGTGTAGCACCTGCTGGCAAGTGTGAGGTCGTGAGTTCAATTCCAGGTTAAGCCAGTCTCAGATTGCTGAGATGACATACACTTGCTCACCATGTATGAATTTTTAATTTGTGGCATTTTGTTTGTAAGTGTCTTGTTGAGAATTTTTGCACCTATGTTCATTAAGAACAACCCAGAGTTTTGTTGTTATTGCTGCAGCTGCTGCTGTGGTTGAGTTCGTGTTTGATTTTGATAATAGGTTAATACTAGTTTCAAAGTAGTTTCTTATTACCCTTGGGGATTCAGTCCATCATGCTGTTGCCTTTTTCATTTCTAAGTGCGTTGATGGGAGTCTTTTCTTCCCTCCTCTTGGGGAGTCTGGCTAAGGGTTATTACTCTTGGTAAGCCACTCAGAGAACCACTTGTCTTGTTCATCGAAACTCTGTGTTCTTTTTTGGTCTCAGTTTCATTAATTTCTGCTCTGATCTTCTCCAACAAATTTTGAAAATGGATTGTTTTTGTTTTTCTAGGATTTTGATTGGAGAAATCACTAGGTTATTTTGGAGGAGCACTCTGTTTTATAAGGTGAGCACTTACAGCTTCAAAGCTCCCTCTAGAGCAGCTCTCCTGGTGTACCATGCGTGTGGGTGTGTTGTGCTACAGCTGTCATCTGAGTCTAAGATCCTGTCCCATTCTGTGGATCACTGACTATTAAATAGTGTATCAAATCTGCACATGTCTTCACGGTTTCTGTGGTTTCTTTTGCTTTGTATTTCTAGTTTAATTCCACGGTGACCCAATCATATAAAAGGAATTGTTTTAATTCTTTTCTTTTATGTAAGCATGATCTATAGCTTAGTAAAAGGACTATTTTGGAGACATATCCCTGTGTTGCTGAAAGGGATGTGCATTCTGTTGTTGAATGAGACATTCTGTAGCTTTCTGTTAAGCCCGTATGTTTAATGCTATGGCTCAACTCTGATAACTTTTGTTGATTTTTGTGTCTGTTTGTGC